CTTTATCAAAAATTAAACAGGGACCTGATGAGTCTTTTCAAGATTATGTCTCACGGCTCATGGACTCCGTGCAAAAGGTCGTAGGAGATGAGGAGGCATCCAATTTACTTACTACCCAGCTGGCATTTGAAAATGCTAACAGCACTTGCCAAGCCATTCTTCGTCCTTTAAGACGAACAGGTAACTTATCTGAATACTTAAAGACTTGTGAGGATGTTGGAGCCTCCTATTTGGGTGGTGTTGCCTTAGCCGCGGCGTTAAGGAATCAAACTGTTACGGAATGGAATAAAACAAAGAAAACCCCTGGCTCCCTTGTTTGCTACCGGTGTGGACAGGAAGGACATATGCGCAATCAGTGCCCTCAGCAGAATTCTAGTGTTGTTTCCCCTTCCTCAGGTTCTAACATCACCAAATCTAAACCGTCCAATCTCTGTCCCTGGTGCCATCGAGGATATCATTGGCAAAATGAATGTCATTCTAAGACAGATTCTGATGGCAATCCACTTCCCTTTAAGTCGGGAAACTGGAAGGGGGGCCAGCCTCGGGGCCCCTCTCATGTGATGGTGGCCACCGAGGCAATGCCCCCTTCACAACTGTCCTCGAGCTCCAAAGAGCAACCCCAGGGAGCGCGGGGTTGGACCTCAGTTCCTCCATTGACCTCCAGCTTTTGCCCACCTCAGGAGTCCAATTAATTCCCACAGGGGTAAAAGGCCCCTTACCAAAAGGGTTTTTAGGACTGTTTCTGGGACGAAGCTCCACTATTTTGCGGGGGCTTCAAGTAGCCCCCGGAGTTATTGATCAAGATTATGAGGGAGAAATAAAGATAATGATGCTTCCTCCCCCTGAACCCTTTTTTTTCACCCAAGGGATGTGATTGGCTCAACTTATCCTGCTGCCTATGACCCCAATGGGACAAGCTTTTAACCAAAAATGCGGGACCCATGGTTTTGGATCTAGTGATGCTTATTGGGTACAACAAATTCACTCCTCCCATCCCTTAAAGACACTTCATATTAATGGAGTAGCCTTTGAGGGCATTTTGGATACAGGAGCAGACAGTACTATTATTGGGCTATGTTTTTGGCTCTCCTCCTGGCCCCTTTGGGAAGCACCTTCCTTAAGTTGAATAGGAGGACTTACACATACCCAACAAAGTGTTCAAATTTTGCATTGGACAGACGCAGACGGTAGCCAGGGTACTGTTCAACCCTATGTCGTTGAGGGTTGTGCCGTCAACCTCTGGGGAAGGGATATTATGGAACAGATGGGAACCATGTTGTACAGCCCTAATTCTACTGTAACTAAGCAGATGCTAGACCAGGGATATGTCCCTGGTGAAGGTCTTGGCAAATACAACCAAGGACCTTCTTCCTGGACTGAGCCCACTGCTAATCCTTCCCAGCGGG